TCCCCTTACCGGTCATCTTTAAAAAAAAAAAAAAAAGAAAATCGAGAAAACAACTGCAGTGGATTGAATTGTGTCCCCCCAAAGTTTAATATGGTGGAGGCTTGATCCCCACTGTGACAGTGTTAAGAGGGTGGGAAATCCTATTACGGTAACTGAAAGGTGGGGCCTTGAAGAGGTGATTAGATTGTGAAGACCTTGCCGTAGTGAATGGATTGGTCCATTTGATGGTGTAATAGCGTTCATGGGTGTGGTTCTCAGGGCTTTAAAAGGGGAGTGCAGGGAGGAGCTCTCTCTCTGCACCACCATATTTGCCATGTGATAACCTGAGTCGCTGTAGTCACCACCTGGACAAGGCTCTCTGGACTTTGGACTTCCCAGCCTCTGAAAGTGTAAGCAATACATTTTGTTTTCTTACAGATTACGCAGTTCCAAGTATTTCATTATAAGCAACAGCAACAGACTAATACAATAACGATTATGTAATAGAAATTACACTTGCAGAACAAAAAATGCTAATGTTATCAGTGCTTTTCTCCAAATTGCAGGGTATGGGTGACGTGTTTTATTACATGTTTTTGAATTTTCAAAGTTTTAAAATTGTAATTGTATATATTTATGGGGTACAATGTGATGTTTTGATATATGTATACATTGTGGAATGATTAAATCAAGCTAATTAACATATTCATCACCCTGAATACTTATTTTTTGTGGCGAGACATTTGAAATTTGTTTACTCTTAGCAATTTTGAAATATACATCATTATTAACTTTAGCCACCACGCTGTGCAATAGATCTCATAAAACTTACTTCTTCTGTCTAGCTGAAACTTTGTACTGTTTGACCAACATCTCCCCAACTCCCCCAATCCCCAGCCTCTGGTAACCACCTTCTACTTTCTTGCTTCCTTGAGTGTGTTTATTTTAGATTCCACATATAAGTAAAATCATGTAGTACTGGTCTTTCTGTGCCTGGCTTATTTCACCTAGCACAAATTCCCCCAGGTTCATCCACGTTGCCACAAATGATGGAATTTCCTTATTTTTTAAGGCTGGGTTGTATCCAATGTGTATATGAGGGATCTTCAAAAAGTTCACAGTTTTTTTCCTTTTTCTTTTTTCTTTTTTTTCTTTTTTTGTGGCAGCTGGCCAGTAACAGGGAATAAACCCTGGCGGATATATACATAAAATATATATAATATAAATATATATGTTTTATATATATATATATTAATTAATTAATTATATTTATTTATTTATTTTTTGGCGGCAGGCCGGTGCAGGGAACCAAACCACTTGACCTTGATGTTACAAGGTCGTGCTCTAGCCAACTGAGCTAACCAGACAGCCACATATCTTTTTATTTTTATTTTTTTGTCCTTTTTGAGACCGGCCGCACTGCGCTCAGCCAGTGAGCGCTGTGAGTGCACCAGTCATCCCCACACAGGATCTGAACCCGCGGCGGGAGCACTGCTGCACTCCCAGCACCGCACTCTCCCGAGTGCGCCACGGGTTCGGCCCAGCCACATATCTTTTAATTCAACTTTTCCACAAACTTTTTGATGTACCCTCATGTATATCACATTTTCTTTATCCATTCATCCGTTGATGGGCATAATAGCCATATCTTGGGTATTGTGAATATGTTGCCGTGAACACAGGAGTGCAGATATCTCTTTGGCATACTGATTTAAAATCCTTTCGCACACTGATTTAAAATCGTCAGAAGTAGGGGGCCGGCCCGGTGGCGCACTCGCGGTGGCGCTCCCGCTGAGGGTTCGGATCCCATGTGGAGACCGGTTCCCGCTCACTGGC